CGGAGGTCAAGATTTGAACAAACTTGATTCTACACTACCTGAGGATGATTTCACATGAGTTTCATCCTTCCTGACCCAGTGGTTCTTGAGAAGAAGGATTTTTTAAAAAGATTTTTCCTATATATTCCTATGTAAAACTTTGATCGTCCATTGTGGCCCCACCCTACCCCCGGGGGTCATGATTTTAAGAAATCTGAATCTACACTACCTGAAGATGATTCCTTATCAGTTTCATCTTTCTTTGCCTAGTGGTTCTTGATAAGAAGATTTTTAAAAATTGCCATTAATTTTTCACTAATTTGTAATTATTTCCCTTTTGAAAAGGGCATGGCCCTTCGTTTGAACAAACTTGAATCCTCTTTACCCAAGGATACTCTGTGCCAAGTTTGGTTGAAATTGGTACAGTAGTTCTGGAGAAGAAGATGAAATTGTGAAAAGTTTACAACGACAACAACGACGCCAAAGGACGACAACGACGACAGACAATGGACAAATTTCGATCAGAAAAGCTCACTTGAGCCTTCGGCTTAGGTGAATTAAAAAAAGCATCTAAAAAGGTAGTGTAGATTCAAATTTATTCAAATCATGACCCCCGGGGGTAGGGTGGGGCCACAATGGGTGATCAAAGTTTTACTTTAAATAGGAATACAAATGAAAAATCTTTGAAATTCTTCTTAAGAATAACAAAGCCATGATTGGTCATAAATATATAAAAGCATCCCAAAAGGTAATGTACATATAGATTTTAAATTTGTTTAAATCATCCCCCCCCCCCAGGAGAATAGAGGGGCCATAATAGGGGATCATAGTTATACAAAGGAATAATATCCGAATATAAAGGATATATCAATAAAAATTTTCATCTTAAAAACAGCAAAGCCATTATATGTCATATTTAACCTTGTTCAAATCATCCCCCCCAACCACTTTTATATTTAAACTTTTCAATACTGAACTGATTTCTGCTTTTTCCTAGCCAAAGTGCTCGGGTGAGCGATGTGGCCCCTGGGCCTCTTGTTTGCATGGTTTGTTCCGTCGTATGTTCTTCCTTCCTGTTACAGTATATTCGGTTTGGAAGTTTAATTTTTTATTTTCCAATTCTGTATGATCATTATTCTGTTTCAAAATCATCATTGTATATATGAAATTTTACTAATTTGATGTTAGCTAAATAATCACACTTTTTATTTCTTTTGTTCAGTAACAGTCCAATTTTGAAGGATATCAGTGCTGAGACAGTCTGATATTACAATTAATATCAGTCTGCTCACTAATATCGGACTGCCAAAGGTAAAATTTTTAGGCTGCAATAATAAAGGAATGACATCACAGCAATGTTTTAATTAAAAATATATGCGGGTGAACTGAAAATGAGTGCCGAGAGTAAGGTCATTACGACTTTGGTTACATTCTTGCCTCGCGGCGACAGACAAAACCTGACATTTTGCTTATCTTAATATTTAAAAAGTATTTTATATTATAACTGAATGATATATTATGGCAAAAATCAAAATAGATAGGGGGATTAGTATGTCTTTTTTTGATAACATTTTATTATGAAAGATGTATAGCAGTTATGACATTACTTCTAGATCAAACCACGTAGTTTATCTTCTTGAGACAGACTAATAAGATTCTATGAAAAGTGTTAAAATTATGTGAGTGTGAAGAGAAACTTTTTTTTGATTTAGGAGAACAGCAGACCTCAGAAGAGGTAGCCACTTCTTACACAATTTTATGATGGTTGTAGTGAGGTATTCAAGTCCTAGCATCAGTAGCATGCGCGGATCCAGGAATTTTTTTTCAGGGGTCAACACCAACTCCGAAACTGTTTGGCAAGCCAATAAAAAAAAAAATACAATAAACTTACCCACACCTGATGTGCGGATCTAGAGGGGGTTCAGGGTGGTGGTGGTCCGGACCCCCCCCCCCCCCCCATAATTTGCGGAGTTACTAGAAGTACATGTATATACTGAAGCAAATAAAAAATGACTTTGGACCCCCCCCCCCCCTTAAGAAAACGTGGACCCCACCATCACCACCACAAAATAGGTGTTTTTCACGTTTTGGAAATGGGTTTTACGGGGTTTTTTTTGTTTTTGTTTGTTTGTTTGTTTGTTTTTTTTTTTTTTTGCTTGGCAAGAAATTTTCTGGATAGGGAAAGGAATTTTGGGTAAAGTATATTTTCTTCAAATACATGACTTTCCTTACCACTTTACACGGGGTCCGTGTTTCCTTAAGGGGGTTCTAAAGTATTTTTTTTTTGTTACTTAACATAGAAATTTTGTAACTCTGAAAATCTCAGGGGGATCCAGAACCCTTCACCTCAAGATCCGCGCATGCTTGGAGTTGCATGAATTCATTGTATAATTATATGTATAATTATACATTTTTTAAAAAATATTCATGTTTAAAAAACTTTGAAAAAAAGAAAGAAAAAGAAAACACGTAAATTGTCCAAACTCCAAAATCCTATTTCGTGGGGTGGGGTTGGGAGCGGATGGGTGCATGCCTTTTTTCACAACCAAATTTTATAAATACATTACCACATCACTATGATTTAACTATACCGCAACAAAAAGTTGGGGGGGGGGGGGCATTTCAAGGAATATTTTTGGAAAAAAGTGAGAGTTGCAGCCCTCCCCCCCCCCCCCACCCTAATACTACGTGCCTGACTTCCTTATCTGTATCCATATCATCTCTCTTTGGCCTTGGTGACATGAATCAGTATTAGAACATCAAGTAACTAAACAGGTCAATGATTCCAGAAAGATGGTCCAGACATGATTTCAATGTGGCTCTGCCCAGTGCCTTTGCCCTTATTAGTGAACAACATACTCGGGCCTGAACCTGGATTGAATCATTGACAGACATAAAGACGAAGATGTCCTGTGTCATGTGAAGGGGGCCTTAACACAAAGGAATCCGTTTTATTTACAGCTATTTAACAGTTCAGTTGGAAAAAATCGGGGGTTGGGTTGTCCTCCAAGGGAAATAACTCGTGGTTTAGCAGCATCATATTATACAAGTACAAGGCAGCGATCAAAGCGGAATAACTCCAGCCTAAAGTGGATTTGTAACCAATATATCAAGTTCTATTGTAATATCTATTTTGGTATTATGATATATCAATATAGTTAAATGACATTTGTGCGTTTAGAACTGCATTTAGCTGAGTTAATACGTATTAATGGTAATCAGAGTTAATCTCGCTTTTAACTCGCGCTATCACAAGCTTGGCTGCTGTGACTAATGTGTAGAAATTCCATGTGGCGGGATGATGCGTTAACACAACAAGCGATGGGTGAGTGCTTTTGTTTCTACTTAATACACCTATATCCTTCGTAACACCATTATTGTGATAATGTGCAGTGTATTTACACGTGTGAAACAGTCACCGGGATTCTTGGAAATGCTCAGATGTGTCGAGCAGTTCCAAAGTTGTACCGACAAAGGCATGTTGATTGCCAGAAGTTAAAAATAGCATCTCTCGTTGTAAAATTCCATGTTGAATTAATGTTTTATGCTAGAATCAATTGATGTTAGACTTTAAGTGGAAATGGCTTTGTACGAATAAGTTTCGGAAGTTTTCTTGAAATCCCGCCAGATCGGTTTTTCAATACTGTTCTTTCTCTGACGTTTTTGAATTCTTTGTTGATCTGCAGAATCTCTCAATGATTACGTTTTATTAGACATCGGCAACTGTTGGGAACAAATTGATTTACATTTATGTTTCTGCAGGATGCTAGGGAAGTTTATCAAGAATCCCACATGATTTTTGAAGAGATTCAAGTGTTCCGAAAAGGGAACAATTTTATTAAACTTTGGAAAGAGGGTGGGGTTTATGAAGATCCAGGGTAAGAGGTGAAGAGTCCTCATACCCCCCCCCCCCCCCCATCACCACCATTTTTAAGCAGAGGAGAAAAGAGAGATTTGTTGATGTTTTTCAGAGTAGGGGGATTATTAAGTAGCCCCTCCCCCTCCCCACCACATACAAACAATTAAGCACTTCTATAGTACATTGCTTCTATTGCCCAGCTGTTGTACAAATCTGAACATTGTATATCATTCTGCAGTGAACTATACTGTGAGGGAGGGAAGGGGTGTCTTTAAATCTACTCACATTTGATTTTAAACTTTATAAATGTATATTCTCAAATAATATAACTGTACAGTTTATTTCAATTTAGACTATAAAATGTAGCTCAAATAATCCTTGAAAATGAATAATAATTCACTATATATATACCAGACAAATTGTTCAGTCAGAAATGACTTGTGTAACGTTACCAATAAGACAAACACACCTTTTATTTTCCTACTTACAGGTGACTTTGGTGTGATTGTGTACTGTGTCAGACTTATGGGTTGACATATTACATGTATTACCAACCAAAACATTGGTAGCATTAACAAACTACACATACTGGGATGTTTACATTGGATGTCTGGATTCACTAACTTTTTTCTCCATTGAGTCGGACATGATTGATCATACAAGATAGAGCCTGTAATTTTATTTTGTATGTAAATATTTTGAAGAAGCAAATTAATTTCATTATTCAATATCACTGTTAGAAATAAATAAAGGAAAAGAAATTTTAAATTTTGAAAGAGATTAATGAAAAATGTAATTTAATATTTTTATTTTGAATTACTAGTACATGTACATGATGTAAATTAATTTATTGATTAAGAAACTGTAATCATTTGTAACTTTCAAGTTGTTTCATAATTAACCAACACGATACATGACGTGGCTTATGATAAAATTTTTAAAGCTTAAAGAAGACACTTTCAATTTTAAATTATTAATTTCTAAAAGCATTCCATCTCGGCATGTGATGTTTGTTGCCTAATAATTAAAAATCAGGTGTAATTACCCCTGATGTAGACATCCAGGACCCCCTACTTCTCCCCCCTTCATTACTTCAGAGATGTACATTAATTTTCTGGCATCCCCCCAAACCTCCCTCAAACTCCAGCAAACATAGAATCCCTCCTCAGTAACATCCGAGAACTGTTGTAGTGTAGACCTGTCTCCTTCCTCTGCCAAGGTTAATTAATTAACTGCTCAGGTTAATTAATGAATTAAAATGGAATCGTGTCATTCTGTTAATTATACAGATAATCAATTAATCTCTCCACCACGGAATCCTTGTCACCTCCCTGTGTATTCAACGCTAGGACACCTCATTAAAATTGTAAGTAATATTTTTGTCAATTATTTTTTAGGGTATGGTTTAGTTATGACTGATTTGTTTCTTATTAATCCCCCCCCCCCAAAAAAAAAATGAATACTTAGTTTGAAATATATTTATTTGTTTACTTGCATATCATGTATGTACTTTGCACAGTAATTAGTATGTTATTAATTATTACCTATTTAATTATACTCTGTTGTTATGAAGATGACAGCTTTTATATCAATCATATTCTGAATCTACATATGAAGTTTTCACTGCGTCCGTAGAAGGTTCTAAGTTGAATCAACTTAAGAAAGATGTGGTCCTTTCTGATCATTAAGATTTTGAAATCAAATTGACCAGACAAATTTTTTGTTTGTTGCTATATATGGATCCTGAATGGCCAGTAAAAGGTTTATTTTTTTACTCATAAGAGGAGTTCAGAATAAAAAGTCCGATGCCATGGCATTGAAAGTACTCTATAATGAAACTTGTCTAATCCTGTTTTGTGCATTCTGAAATCTTGCCTAATGTGATGTAAACTTTAAGTCCATTTCAGTAATTTGTCTAAGGCTTGTCTAAGGTTTGTTTGGAGTTGCCTCCCACCTCATTGAAATGACCCCTCCTGGAAAAATTTTATTGACCAAAAATAAGATTTTTTTTTTCATTCAATCAATTCTTGGCCTGTTACCACATGTGCCACCCAATCACTTAATAAGTGTAGGATCTAAGCAAAACTGGGGTCCTGGTTGATGGGAGATACCCTTTACAAAAAGGCAGAAAATATTGGGTTCACTGCTTATTGAGATTTTTATCATTGATTTTTAATTTAACTTTAATTTTGAAAAAAAAAAAAATAATTTCCCTCCCTCCCTCCTGGGTCTGAAACCTCCCAGGCAGCAATTCCAAACAAACTTTTTTTTTAAGGATGGCCTAATCTGGCCAATTTCTATGGAGTCAGTGGAATCCAGATTAGTTTTACTTGAGTGTTATCTTGAAGACAAAAAAATAATCAAGGGAAAAAATTGGAATCAACATAGTAATAAATCATTATTATCATCATGATGTTTTATTTTAAAATGAAATACACACATCATGCCAATTGTTGTGGTGATTAAATAAGATGAAATCATTAGCAAACATGATAGTAGATAAGGATGAACTTAGACACAGAGGCAGAGAATTTGAAACTTCTAGACTAATTTTTTATCAAGGTACAGTAAAACACAAAGTGCCAGGGATGGACAATTTTGCCTCATTATAAGCAAACTTCATTATCATGATTATACTGTAAAATCACATATTTTCGTCGGGTCACATTTTCTTGGTTTGGGGAAAAACTATAGGTTCGTGGGGTTTTGATTTTTCGTGGTTGAGGAGTTGTTGAGTAGATATGTACATGACATTTTACATTTCATGGTGGACATGAATTCTGGGTCTCCCCATACCTGGAAAACAATGAACATTAAACAACAACGAAAATACATGTAAGTGATTTCACAGTATCTGTTAAGTTCACAATATATTTTGAAGTCAGGGGGAATGAAAATCTCTTTGCTGTAAGTGTCAGTTCATTATAAACTTTTGTTTTCTATAAGCATCTTTTACTGTACTCCCAACTAGGGTCTTAATGTGGTTGTTTGTCTGTTACAAAATCATGTTCTGGCCATAAATCTTAAGTTTTTTACCATTGTTTAGAATGGATACAAACTTGAGTATGTTGTTGCTGAATATCCAATGTGTATCACAATCTTGACTGAAGGTCATAATTAAAAGATCAAGGTCACTCGGAATGAAAGATTGAGATTATGTCCCTTCCATGTAAGGTACCTTGAATTAAAGGACCTATGGTGACAATAGAGTTGTTTGCTGAATATGCTGAGAGCTTCTTATGATGCAGCATGTTTTCTGTCTGAATCAGAACACAGCATGATGCACCTAATGATGCAACACATTTATTTTTATCAAGCTGTTATCTTTGACATTTATTATATATATATTTTATTTCCCACCATGAGGAACTTACCAATATTTGTGAATCAGCATTTAGCATACATGTACCATGTGTAGGTGAATTAGATAGTAAGAATTTAATGTACTAGTATTGTTATACTGAAAATTTGTTCAAATGATCACCATCTTTTATCAAGCTCTCAGTACCTGGTAATTTGACAAAACTATAGGTACAAACTACTGCAGTTTGCTATTTAAGCACTTGTGAGACAATATTGTTGATTTATAAATTTTCCCAGTGGAATACACTGATTAAACATGCAGATAAATAACTTCATGAAACTGTTATCTATCAAATAATAATAAGACTTAAAACTTTTAGGTTAAAAGATGAAATTATACTTTTGAAATATTCAAGCTATTTTGATAAATAATCTTTCTCAAATCTATGAGGAGAAATTAATAGAATTTTTGGCACTAATACCCTGTTTTAATGGCTGGTTTGTTCATTGGAGTGTGGGTTGTACAAAGTTCGTTTGGGTTGATCACTTTGCCAAAACAAACCTCTTGACTTACGGCTACATTCCAGCTTTGTCTGTAGATGTAAATAGTTAAGATATTGGCATATATATGCTTGTATCAGTAGATACTGTGTTATTTTAAAGATTTTGACAGATTTATTAACTTTGTATTTTTGTTAAGTTGGTTAGAAAGTGGAAGCTATTCTGACATGTCTGAGTAGGAAAATCTTATGAATTAAAGTGTATACATGTATACATGTATAAATGTGCCTGTGCATTGTTATTAAAAACTTGAACTATTCCAGTTTCCTTTCTGAAATAACTAAACCAATTTCATTCCATCACCTTCCCCCCTCCCATGGGGCATGAAGAGCCCTGAGGGGGCCAACCTAACAAAAATTTTGTCATCTTTAAAAATCTGCTGCACTCCTGGAAGTACAGTAGCATGTTAAATGACATTATGACCAGCTACATGGACTAATTCTGCCACAAATTTGAAATTCCTGTCCTCTGGGTTCAGGATTTAGGTCCCAGAATAGTCTGTGAACCAAGATGTTGGTTATTTTCTACTTCACTCTGTTCATCCGCAAATAAAACATTTCTTTTCTAATCCATAACAACAAATGAAGAACCTATTAACTTACAGATATGAGTCATGTACCCAGCTCAAAACAACAAAGCTAAAATATAAATTAAATATCAATAACCAAATTTAGAGACTTAAACATTATATTGAACCAAAAATGAAATGTATTTCACCATTGTGCAAACATCAGCAGGTAAGGCTGAAAAGTGATAACCGAGACATTATTCTGATTTTTTTTTTCTAAAATAAAGACACTTATTGTTTATTAGTATTTTCCGCTGTACATGTTTCCAACTTCGTTTACTAATTATAAGCAGGATAATTCTGATTATCCTTTTTTCCTTCTAGCTCATTATATTGAAAAGTGGTGGAACTGATCATCCTCTACAAAAAACAAACAATACAGTACAATATAGCATAATAACGATGCTAAATAATAAACATAATCCACGTATATTTAAGAAATGATTTAATTTTTGAAGGTTCATGAGGACATGAACTACGACGCATCACGCCGGCATATTTCATGAAGCGCGTTAGCGCTTTATGATAAATATGCCGGCGTGAAGCGTTGTAGTTCATGTACCTCATGAATTTTCAAAAAATAAATTCATTTCTTATATTTACATTATTTTTCTGATGAGTTGCTATTAATTACACCATTCAACTGTCATTTTTTAAAGCAAAATAGTTTGCACTATACTTTTGACGTCAAGTGCGGTATTATGACGTAACAATGGGGATATTCATGCTCATCCATGGTAGTTCATAAGAAAATGAACAGTCTTCTAATTTGCAAAGAATATTAAGGGAAAATATTTGGAAATGTAAATATATAGAGATAATACGTGAAAAAATAAATATATAACATAATTATTCAGCAAAATGGTACGTATAACAAAGAACTCACATAGTCGAGTGAAACATAGTTCAATGCAGTTTATATTAGTACATATTACGAAGCACTCGCGAGTGAAACATAGTACAAATTCAACATAGCATTCATTGAAACACTGATTATTACGTATTAGTCAATTCAAATATTCTGATTAGTGTAATGAAACCTTCCTTCATTAAAAACTCTGTTCCTCTGTGACCTCTTGACAAAAAATCTGAACGGATATTCAAACTCGACATCATCCTTTACAAAACTTTAACAATTTACAACACTGGACCAAAAAAGGGATGATATTTAGGCGCAACCAGAACACCTTTTCCTTTACGTGAAAATAAATGCAGATCAACTTTAGAAAAAAAATTACCTGGAAAACAATCAAGTTATTGTCTACACTCCAGTCGAAAGAAAATTCACAAGCACCTGAATTTCAATTATCTGCAAATTTTGAATAAAACTTCTTTACCTTATGCATATGATAGTACATGTAGTAATTGGCAAACAAATCGCGAGTAAATTAATGGACCCCATTTTATTAAAAAAAACAATTCTTTTATTAATGGCCCAATTATCTGGATCATACAATTTATTGAAATAATCAGCAATTATATTTTCATTTCGTGGTAACCAATATACATATGTAGTATGTACATCAAATGTTATTCTGTACATAAAAAAAACATATCTTGACAATGACGAAAGCTATTATAGCATGATATTTGCCGCATTTTAATTATCCGCATTTACATCCATGCACTTACCTCTAACTTCTACCTTAAATTAGTCTAATATCAATTCTATACCTTGAGTTCTCTCCAAGTTGAACTCCTCCTGAATTCCTCCTCTCACTCACGGTCCACAGTGTATGAAAAATCTTACCAAGAATTTGCTAAACAACAACCAGTACCTGCGTGATCGCTTGCATCAGTGTAAATGAGTCAATTAGGGGTGCAACGATACACTAACCTCACGATACGATACGTATCATGGTATTCAGTTCACGATACGATACGTATCACGATACATGACAAGGTTAAAAAGTCTTTCAAGTTTGTGTCATATTTTTTTTAAACTTGACAGGGTTTTATAAAATGTTCATATTTTTTTTATAATAAATAAAATAAAATTTTGTTAACTTGAATTGGATTGTAGGTAGATCGTTGAGTTTTGACAATTTTCTAAACCAGTGATGAACACTTACAGGGAACTACGGGGACCTTTCCTAATAATCTTCCTTTTAAATTGGAATGAAAAAGGAAGACATCCATTCTTTTATTCATTTTATTTACGTAGAAAACCAGTTGTCATATTTCTCGTGTTAACACGTTTTAGTCAACAAGAAAGTGAATTTTCATCGAAATACACACGTGATGAAATATCGTGTATTACCAAAGAATACGTTTAGATCTAAAGGGTTTATCATTTGTCTTAACATCTAAAACTTATAATCACATTAAGTCCTTCTCCGTGTTAAATCTGAGGTCTGTAAGATGCTGGAGATGAGTTTAACTTCCGTTAATGCGTTATCGGCTACCTCACGTTTAGCGCGGAAGCCATTTTGAAATTGTAAAAAAAGGAAACAAAACGGACGATTCGGATAATTCTGGACCGATTGAACCGAACCGCGATATCAGTTTAGCGTATCGTGAATTGAACCGTGGAAAAATATACCGCGATATACCGTCAAACGGTTTATCGTTGCACCCTTAGAGTCAATACATACTAGTACTCTTTAAAAATTTTCTTAAAAGATAAACACATAAATTAATTTCCCAGAAAATTGATCTTAGCAATTGTTTCATTGGACAGCTGAAAAAAAATGTGTACCACGATTTATTTTTTGAACATGTAGACAAATACATATGCCTTGTCGTAAATCTGCACACTGCACCCAAGCTTGCTAAAAAAGATATTTTTTCACTGTAACTTTAGCTAATATTCCTGTAGACACACACACACACACAAATTATTTTCAAGTTTCTCTAACAAATCTAGAAAATTTTTAGCTTACTTTTTTGTATTCCAATGTACCTGAAGAAGCATGTGAATTGTCAACACAAAAAGATCATTCCACATGCCTGAGTTGCTGTTTCTATCTTAAGGCTTCTTATCCTTAGCTTCCTTCCTTCATTTGATGGTGCGGGATTCTGCTTTTCGTAGTTTTGCCAATTCGTCAGGACCATTAACAAAATCATCCCCCAGATATTCTTCAAGCGTGTCCCATCCATATTTGTCGGCTATTTTAATATGAGTGTTTCGTTTCGATAACTTTTCTTTTGCTTGTTTCACAATTTCATGAGCCTCTTCAATCCTACCAAACTTAAAATAATTGTCTTCCAGTTGTAATTCGTCTATTCTTTCGGAGTTAAAGTCAAACTGGTTTATACAACCTGAGTATTTGAAGTGTACAGTGCTTTTACTGTCCGGTTTCTTGAGAACCAATTCACGTCTAATATTGGATACCTGTTCCTCTAATTTGTGTCTAAAAATGGCCCTTTCATCTCTTAAAACTGACTTCAGTCTTGATGAAAAAAGACTTAAAGCTTCTTCTATAGTAATATTACTCTCCGTAGATTGACTAGAATCCTCCCCAGGCGGTTCTTTTTCACGTGCTCTTTCTTCGTGTTCGATATCAATATTCATGGTATTGTTGCTATTTATAGCTGAGTACTAACTCGAATGACCAAAACGCCCTAAGACCGGATTTAAATACCCTTGACCTAAGCACACAGAAATAAGTGCGCAAAAACATTACGCTTAACATTTATAGATATTATGAAAACGAAAAGAAATTTAATTACTTACAGAACATTTATTATCATTTACAAAAATACTCTCTTTACTCATAATCATGATAATTATCAAGCAAGGAAACATCATCCTTATCATAAGACATAAGCAGTTAAACCTCTATCAGAATTTTGAAAATTTATGTTCACTTGGTTCAGGGTTTAGGCCCCAGGATTAGGCTTAAAGTAAGTTGCCCATACATTGAAAATTCATTATACTCTAGAACTCCTGCTTCAATTCATGTTCTTGATGAATTCATACAATACATACAAATAAGAACATTTGTCACTGGTTACAGAGTATGTTGGATTAATCTAAACATGATCGACTTGTTGAAATTTAAGGGCTAAAATACAGAGATCTTACTGGTGATTCATTAACCAATAGACCATCTGCTCACAAAGCAGATGAACTACTCTGTCAATTATTGTGTCTTCATCACATTCAACCTGGTCAGATTCTTTCGTAATTAAATTTCTTCATCCTGGAAGACACAACCCTGATGTAACCCTCACAGTACTTTCAAGGGGATTGGTATGTGGCAGTCAAATGGGTTCAATCGTGGTGGACAGATAGCTGACTGGAGATTCAGGGGACCCAGGTTTGATATCTGGTCTGGTCCATTGCATCTTTCTCCTTTCCAGTTGTAGATCAAAGCAACAAGTGTAACAGAATGGTGAACATACAGAAAACCAGAGGAATTTATTTCCTGGACCCTTTCCCCAGTCATTTCATTTCCAGATTCATAAAACCACTTTATACATGCTATGAATACACTACAACTCACAACAAATTATACTGAAATCAGAGCAAAGTATTCATTGGCAGAATGAGGTAGTATACTGTTGTAAAATAGAATGGAACATCTTTCAGGTGCTTTATTTAAGGTTCAACACGTTCAAAGGTGACATGAAAAACCATAAATGGCCCTCCATAGAAACATTCCATTTATTTATAAATAGTAGTTCTATAATATTTAAATAACACAACTCTCCTCATATAGGAAATGAACAAAGAGTAATAAGTTTCGTGTTGTTATGAATATATGGATGCATATGTAACAGCAAAGGAAAAAGCAATGGATCAGACCAGGATTCAAACCCAAGTCCCCTCATTTCTAGAAAGCAGGTGCTCTTTCAGCTGGAGCTATGCCAAAATTTATAGTTGCGGATGGATTTCAGACAAATGACTGGGAGACAGAATTTACAGAAAGAACTTCAAGGAATCATGTTGAACATAGATCTACATGATTGGGGAAAAAAAACCACTGAATTTATTTATTGGTGACATGATTTAATGTATTCTTTAGATTTAATTGCCAGTTATCTTCAAGATTATAAATTAACTAGTAATTTTGCTGATGAAATGTTTATTTTGACTTCTTGTTAATTCAAATTCTTCTATGGCTGATATACATTAATTTTTAGCAGAAATTTTATTTAGACTAGTTTGTACTTTTTACTAGTGAATTAACACAGTTCAAAATGATGACATGTTTAATTACTTATTAATCAGCTAGGATACTTACATTTGGAAGAAAATGTAATTTATCTACAAAACTGAGATACTTTATGAGAGTGATATGTACAGGAGAGATTAAATTCACTCACTGGTTCTTAAAATACTTGCAGGCTTCTGTTTAGTAAGTTAAACTATTTAGTTTCATGATTTTTATTTTTTCAGATTGAGAAACTTCGAAACAGAGACTATGCAGTGCCAGACATAGACAATGGTTTGAGGTGGTTAGAGCGTGAACAGGGCAGGGACAGGATGGAGGGAATCAGTGGGACTGGCCAATCAAAACAGTTATCTACTGTAAGTCAGTCTAACATTATCCAATCAAAACAGTTATCTACTGTAAGTCAGTCTAACATTATCCAATCAAAACAGTTATCTACTGTAAGTCAATCTAAAATGGCAGCTTATGGCCAAACAAAACAGTTATCTAAGTCAGTCTAACATTATCCAATCAAAACAGGTATCTACTGCAAGTCAATCTAATATGGCCATACAAAACAGTTATCAACTGTAAGTCAGTCTAACACTTGGCAATCAAAACAGTTATCTACTCTAAGTTCAGATGAGATGATCTTAACACTGAAAATAAATTAGTATATCTGTTAATTGTGAGGCATTAAGAAGTTGTGATGTTTATCTCTTATTCAAGATGTGGCATCTGATTAAATCATGATTATTTGTTTTCATGATTTTAGATATTCATTACAGTGGTTTTATTAATATATATAAATTAACATAGAACTATCTCATACAAAGTATTCATTAAATGTGAAAAAAATAAAAATTAAGGTTTTAATATTATACATTAAACTATCTTCCTCAATAATAAGTTTTGACATGTTCCCCAGGTGATTGGTACACTGGAACTGGAGCTCAGAAAACTACAACAGTCCAATGAGAGTCTGGCACAGGAGAACATCAGTCAGGTACGGGAACCAGTTTAGGGACATCTGTTAGAACTGTCTGACTAATAGAACCAATAGAAATTGATTGGAAAATTGAATATATACAAAAAGTTAAATAGCTTTAAAGTTTGAAAATGCAGCTAGGATAAGGCTGTCCATAAAATATCACAGTACTAGTGTACCAGCAGTAGTAACTTCTCCCAACTACCTAGATATGACATCAAGTCACTGCAAATTTGAGCTGACATGAAGGGGAAAGTGTCATAACTTTTACATTCCTTCCTTATGACATGGAGAATCTTATTTACATTGATGTTAAATTAAGATGTCTGGATTATTGTTTTAAGCTTCAATGTGCCTTTCGCTTGTCTGATATACAATGTATTCAAACAATAACTAAAAGTAGAATGTGAAATGACCCCCTTACACGTCCATACAGAGTTAGAATTTGTAAATCGTTTATATATTAGACTGGCACAAGTGATAAAAAAAGATAAATTAAAAATATTTTTTGTGATTCAATAAGAGATTTATGTCCTCTAACAGAACCTTGCTGGGGGATTGTGTCTATAATAGCCTATTTTGCATAAATTGCGATGAAGAGTGCAAAATGCCCTAGTGTGTGGGTAACTTAAAGTTCTCGTGAAATATTTACTTTACAAGTAAAACTTAGACTTGCCCCCAGCACTTCCTGTATACAATAGCATAGGTATAATTGACTTAAACAAAATCTTCACAAAAATTTTGATTATCACTTGTTCCAAAGCGATTTTTGTGCAGCTTTGAGGAAAAATTATAAGTGTCCGTCACATGATCAACAAAGTCATGTTACATGACAAATATGCTTTATTGTAATACCTGATAAAACTCTTTTAGCATATTGGCTGTACATGTATACATAGTTTACAAAATAAAATAAAAAACCTACCTCGAAATAAAAGATAATGTTAATAATGCATATTAAGCCTTCAGACAGCCTAATTAACGTAGCTGCAAATGTAGAAAGTTGGAATTAAAGAAAATACTCATTATTTGTTCCATACAATGTCAGGTCTAGTTAAGGTCAACCATATTTTTGAAAACTGAAAAAAAGAAACATTAATGAACGTTGTTGATTTTTAGAATTGAAATCTTTATGAAATTATTTACGGCGCAAGGTAGAAAGTAATCTTTATCATGTTTATGGAAGACTGAAATTTATTTCCTTTTCTAGCACCAGAGTATCAAGACCCTGGAACAGAGGCTGAAGCCTCTTAATGAGAAAAATAGGAGGTTTCTGGAGAAGAATATGGAGCTGACGACCTTAACTAGAAATCTGAAGGACCAACTACAGAGTACAACAGAGGACAATAAAAAACTGGTAAGTACATGGAGCTGATGACCTTAACTAGAAGTCTGAAGGACCAACTACAGAGTACAACAGAGGACAATAAAAAACTGGTAAGTACATGGAGCTGATGACCTTAACTAGAAGTCTGAAGGACCAACTACAGAATACAACAGAGGACAATAAAAAACTGGTAAGTACATGGGGCTGACAACCTTAACTAGAATTCTGAAGGACCAGCTACAGAGTACAACAGAGGACAATAAAAAACTGGTACGTACATGGGGCTGACAACCTTAACTAGAAGTCTTAAGGACCAGCTACAGAGTACAATGGAAGACAATAAAAAACTGGTAAGCAGCACATGGGGCTGACAACCTTAACTAGAAATCTGAAGGACCAACTACAGAGTACAACACAGGACAATAAAAAACTGGTAAGTACAGCTGACAACCTTAACTAGAAGTCTGAAGGACCAACTACAGAGTCCAAAGAGGACAATAAAAACTGGTAAGTACATGATACAGACAACCTAGCTGCAGAACTGTAGCGTTATGGTTTTATATTTTAGTCTTTGACCATAATGCTACAGATCCTGTAATGTAAATAAAGTGCAATTTACGGCACAAGATTTTCTGCGCACTTTGGGGATGTATTTCACCACTTTTAGCATTGGTCAGTCAACGACCTTTCATCCCCTAGTTCTAGACATATTCTATAACCAACCTGTATATTTTATCCAATTCCTAACCCTTTATAGTCTTCTCTACAGACCAATAAACTCGCTTGTGAATTTTATGCCATCCAACAACAAATTCACAACAAGCATGTTGCTACTAGTAGCCTTTCCTTCTGCCACACTCTGTTAATTAATAAACATTTAAATATTAACCATTACAGAAGGACCAATATGAGCATTGTAAGAAGAAGATAAAACAGATGACTCAGCAGTTAAATCAGGAGAAGCTGGAGAAGGGAACACTCGAGCTGCAGACTCAGAACTTACTGGAGCTCAAACAGAAATGTGCTGACCAGGAGAAAGCTTTGACAGCTCTCAAACTCAGTGTACAGGTAAGAGACTCAAACAGAGGTGTGGGGACCAAGAGAAAGCTTTGACAGCTCTCAAACTCAGTGTACAGGTAAGAAACTCAAACAAAGGTGTGGTGACCAGGAGAAAGCTTTGACAGCTCTCAGACTCAGTGTACAGGTAAGAAACTCAAAGGTGTGGTGACCAGGAGAAAGCTTTGACAGCTCTCAAGCTAAGTGTACAGGTAAGAGACTCAAACAGAAGTGTGCTGACCAGGAGAAAGCTTTGACAGCTCTCAAACTCAGTGTACAGGTAAGACACTCAAACAGAGGTGTGCTGACCAGGAGAGTGCTTTGACAGCTCTCAAACTCAGTGTACAGGTAAGACACTCAAACAGAAGTGTGCTGACCAAGAGAAAGCTTTGACAGCTCTCAAACTCAGTGTACAGGTAAGACACTCAAACAGAGGTGTGCTGACCAGGAGAAAGCTTTGACAGCTCTCAAACTCAGTGTACAGGTAAGACACTCAAACAGAGGTGTGCTGACCAGGAGAAAGCTTTGACAGCTCTCAAACTCAATGTACAGGTAAGACACTCAAACAGAGGTGTGCTGACCAGGAGAAAGCTTTGACAGCTCTCAAACTCAGTGTACAGGTAAGACACTCAAACAGAGGTGTGCTGACCAAGAGAAAGCTTTGACAGCTCTCAAACTCAGTGTACAGGTAAGACACTCAAACAGAGGTGTGCTGACCAAGAGAAAGCTTTGACAGCTCTCAAACTCAGTGTACAGGTAAGACACTCAAACAGAAGTGTACAGACCAGGAGAAAGCTTTGACAGCTCTCAAACTCAGTGTACAGGTAAGAAACTCAAACAGAGGTGTGCTGACCAGGTAAGTGCTTTGACAGCTCTCAAACTCAGTGTACAGGTAAGACAATCAAACAGAGGTGTGCTGACCAGGAGAGTGCTTTGACAGCTCTCAAACTCAGTGTACAGGTAAGACACTCAAACAGAGGTGTGCTGACCAGGAGAGTGCTTTGACAGCTCTCAAACTCAGTGTACAGGTAAGACACTCAGACAGAGGTGTGCTGACCAGGAGAAAGCTTTGACAGCTCTCAAACTCAGTGTACAGGTAAGAGACTCAAACAGAGGTGTGGGGACCAAGAGAAAGCTTTGACAGCTCTCAAACTCAGTGTACAGGTAAGAAACTCAAACAAAGGTGTGGTGACCAGGAGAAAGCTTTGACAGCTCTCAGACTCAGTGTACAGGTAAGAAACTCAAACAAAGGTGTGCTGACCAGGAGAAAGCTTTGACAGCTCTCAAGCTAAGTGTACAGGTAAGAGACTCAAACAGAAGTGTGCTGACCAGGAGAAAGCTTTGACAGCTCTCAAACTCAGTGTACAGGTAAGACACTCAAACAGAGGTGTGCTGACCAGGAGAGTGCTTTGACAGCTCTCAAACTCAGTGTACAGGTAAGACACTCAAACAGAAGTGTGCTGACCAAGAGAAAGCTTTGACAGCTCTCAAACTCAGTGTACAGGTAAGACACTCAAACAGAGGTGTGCTGACCAGGAGAAAGCTTTGACAGCTCTCAAACTCAATGTACAGGTAAGACACTCAAACAGAAGTGTGCTGACCAAGAGAAAGCTTTGACAGCTCTCAAACTCAATGTACAGGTAAGACACTCAAACAGAGGTGTGCTGACCTGGAGAGTGCTTTGACAGCTCTCAAACTCAGTGTACAGGTAAGACACTCAAACAGAGGTGTGCTGACCAGGAAAAAGCTTTGACAGCTCTCAAACTCAGTGTACAGGTAAGACACTCAAACAGAGGTGTGCTGACCAGGAGAAAGCTTTGACAGCTCTCAAACTCAATGTACAGGTAAGACACTCAAACAGAGGTGTGCTGACCAGGAGAAAGCTTTGACAGCTCTCAAACTCAGTGTACAGGTAAGACACTCAAACAGAGGTGTGCTGACCAAGAGAAAGCTTTGACAGCTCTCAAACTCAGTGTACAGGTAAGACACTCAAACAGAGGTGTGCTGACCAAGAGAAAGCTTTGACAGCTCTCAAACTCAGTGTACAGGTAAGAAACTCAAACAGAGGTGTGCTGACCAGGTAAGTGCTTTGACAGCTCTCAAACTCAGTGTACAGGTAAGACAATCAAACAGAGGTGTGCTGACCAGGAGAGTGCTTTGACAGCTCTCAAACTCAGTGTACAGGTAAGACACTCAAACAGAGGTGTGCTGACCAGGAGAGTGCTTTGACAGCTCTCAAACTCAGTGTACAGGTAAGACACTCAGACAGAGGTGTGCTGACCAGGAGAAAGCTTTGACAGCTCTCAAACTCAGTGTACAGGTAAGAGACTCAAACAGAGGTGTGGGGACCAAGAGAAAGCTTTGACAGCTCTCAAACTCAGTGTACAGGTAAGAAACTCAAACAAAGGTGTGGTGACCAGGAGAAAGCTTTGACAGCTCTCAGACTCAGTGTACAGGTAAGAAACTCAAACAAAGGTGTGCTGACCAGGAGAAAGCTTTGACAGCTCTCAAGCTAAGTGTACAGGTAAGAGACTCAAACAGAAGTGTGCTGACCAGGAGAAAGCTTTGACAGCTCTCAAACTCAGTGTACAGGTAAGACACTCAAACAGAGGTGTGCTGACCAGGAGAGTGCTTTGACAGCTCTCAAACTCAGTGTACAGGTAAGACACTCAAACAGAAGTGTGCTGACCAAGAGAAAGCTTTGACAGCTCTCAAACTCAGTGTACAGGTAAGACACTCAAACAGAGGTGTGCTGACCAGGAGAAAGCTTTGACAGCTCTCAAACTCAATGTACAGGTAAGACACTCAAACAGAAGTGTGCTGACCAAGAGAAAGCTTTGACAGCTCTCAAACTCAATGTACAGGTAAGACACTCAAACAGAGGTGTGCTGACCTGGAGAGTGCTTTGACAGCTCTCAAACTCAGTGTACAGGTAAGACACTCAAACAGAGGTGTGCTGACCAGGAAAAAGCTTTGACAGCTCTCAAACTCAGTGTACAGGTAAGACACTCAAACAGAGGTGTGCTGACCAGGAGAAAGCTTTGACAGCTCTCAAACTCAATGTACAGGTAAGACACTCAAACAGAGGTGTGCTGACCAGGAGAAAGCTTTGACAGCTCTCAAACTCAGTGTACAGGTAAGACACTCAAACAGAGGTGTGCTGACCAAGAGAAAGCTTTGACAGCTCTCAAACTCAGTGTACAGGTAAGACACTCAAACAGAGGTGTGCTGACCAAGAGAAAGCTTTGACAGCTCTCAAACTCAGTGTACAGGTAAGAAACTCAAACAGAGGTGTGCTGACCAGGTAAGTGCTTTGACAGCTCTCAAACTCAGTGTACAGGTAAGAAACTCAAACAGAGGTGTGCTGACCAGGTAAGTGCTTTGACAGCTCTCAAACTCAGTGTACAGGTAAGACAATCAAACAGAGGTGTGCTGACCAGGAGAGTGCTTTGACAGCTCTCAAACTCAGTGTACAGGTAAGACACTCAAACAGAGGTGTGCTGACCAGGAGAAAGCTTTGACAGCTCTCAAACTCAATGTACAGGTAAGACACTCAAACAGAGGTGTGCTGACCAGGAGAAAGCTTTGACAGCTCTCAAACTCAGTGTACAGGTAAGACACTCAAACAGAGGTGTGCTGACCAGGAGAAAGCTTTGACAGCTCTCAAACTCAATGTACAGGTAAGACACTCAAACAGAGGTGTGCTGACCAGGAGAGTGCTTTGACAGCTCTCAAACTCAGTGTACAGGTAAGACACTCAAACAGAAGTGTGCTGACCAGGAGAAAGCTTTGACAGCTCTCAAACTCAGTGTACAGGTAAGACAATCAAACAGAGGTTTGCTGACCAGGAGAGTGCTTTGACAGCTCTCAAACTCAGTGTACAGGTAAGACACTCAAACAGAAGTGTGCTGACCAAGAGAAAGCTTTGACAGCTCTCAAACTCAGTGTACAGGTAAGACACTCAAACAGAGGTGTGCTGACCAGGAGAAAGCTTTGACAGCTCTCAAACTCAATGTACAGGTAAGACACTCAAACAGAGGTGTGCTGACCTGGAGAGTGCTTTGACAGCTCTCAAACTCAGTGTACAGGTGAGAATATTTTACAATGGATAAAATATCAAATTTAGTAAAACAGAATATTTATCAGAATGTGTTAATTGCCTGCTCAAAGTTTGTTAACATGTATTTAAATTCCTCCTCTTGAATCACTGTTTGATTTGAATGGATGAGTATTTGATCCTGATAAAAAAAAACAAACAACAAAACAAAACCAAAAAAACAACAATAACACAGTTTTAAGAATGGAAACCTGTACTGGAAATATGTACCTGGTACAGTAAATTTTTTTTTTTTTACAATAAATGACCGTGCATTGGAATACCAGCTCACTACTTAAAGAAGTTTTTTGGCTCTTGAAGAGAAATTATGTGTGGGAAATTTAATCCCTTGATCATTTTAACACAATATATCTATAATTTTAAACTGTTACTCAATCAATTCATAATCCCAGAAATTATTCCTTGTTTTAAGGAAGTATGTTATGTACTATAGCACTGCTCTGTTAATTTGTTACTTCCCTTGTGTCAAGCATGTGTGGACATTTGTAGACCGAGTTTCACAGAAATAGAATATTGTTTGATGTCTAGAAATGTGAACTGTTGCAATGGAAGAAAGTGAAAATCAGGTACATGTTTAGTTTCCTTAGTTTAATCATTGTGAGTAAATTGTTCTGTTTCCCTAATTGCTGACCACTGAATGTGATACGTCATATATTCTTTCCACAACCATCATAGAATTAACTATCATCCTCTTTGTGTGTAAAATTCAGATATAGGCATTCTCACACTTGATATAAAATTAGCCATAAAAACTCACTGTAGAGTAAACTTGAATGTATTCTTTGAATTGACTTCCCATTTTTATTTTGATACTGAATTGGGTGACATGTTCAGATTTTAGGTGAAGTACAATAAAACAGATAGTACATATACTGTGTATTGCTTGAATAACAAG